ATTGAGTGTCTTGTTCAGGACATCCTATATTATTCGTTGGTATATAGACCTTATACTATGCTAATAGCTTTTGCATCGTAACTAAATATTTATTCGTATACAAAACTTATAATTATCGATGCTGGTATGATTTACATCGTTGTCCTTCTCTTCGACGTCGACTTTAACGCATACGCGTAAATGTGTGATCCAACTACTTATTAGTAGCTCTCAGACGTCTCTAGGTGACGAAAATGATATCTGACGACTTGTCTGCGCAGACCTTACGCGCATCGTAAATGTTATTGCAAATTTGCTTGCGTCTATGGACGATCCCAAATGATCCATGCTTCTCATCAAATAAACACACGGACTATTCTACAAATATATGCATGTTAAATCCACAAATGTATCGCAATTAGCAGTGTAATACCCCTTAATTAGTTGAATGATGAAGAAAAGTAAGAATAATCTTGTTGTAGTGATTAAGCAGGAGCTTGTGCAATGTCGATGCTTGCACAAGATACTTTCTATCCTTTGACAATATAGATACCACAGATTATACATATATTGTCATGATCGTTTTGAATCAGGTCGTACGCCGTTCTTGCCTAATATGCACCTAAGAAGGTTATGTCGCTAGATTCTAATATACACTCATTGAGATTGGCTTACAATATGTGCTAAAACATTGCTGTAAGAACCTACCGGATATTGATTGTATAAATTAGTAGTCCGGAACACCCATCCGGTCTCGTTATAATTAAACACACACCTATGGACAAACACATATCGATGTAGTTCGATGTGAAACGTCGCACTAGTATAAATTGATGCGCTGCACAAATGTGAACAGTTGTTGAGGTATAACCAAATGCTTGGTGAATGATCAGATTGTTGTTGGTCACATCAACGCGAGCTCTAGCTGCTATATTTCCAACATTCACATCGCGCATTAGCATATTATAGCATTTATCTAGAGATCGTTCAAAAAATTGGAATACACTAACATACTATGTATTATCGTTCCTTCTCGTCAATGGCTCTTCGATCGATGTTGTAGCTGTCAAAAAGATGTCGAATGCGCGCACTATCCGCAATACTCGTGTGGAACTACGCACGCAAAAGCTTAGAGATTCTGAAAGATTTTATCCCTTTAACAAAACTCTGCTAAACGATCGTTATGAAGTTTGTAATCTCCTCTACTTGGTTGCGAGGCGCCAGTCATTTCTCAATGGCATACTTCTTCGGTCCTGGTATCAGGTATTCCTGTGACTTGTGGCTGAGTCCATATAAGTTTGAATGGCACGAACTTAGGAAAAACCGTTGCTTATACAATCGAAATGTTATTGGGTCGATTTGCCTATATTATACCCAGTTCTACAACGTGTCACGCATTATTCTAGTCTTGAAATATCAATTTTTAGCTGCTGATAATCGATCGTACCTAGCAAAAATGATGTTGACCAATTACCGATGATAAAATCGTCCTGTGTGTGGCCTTTATAGATCTGCCTAACTTTTTCCACTACTCATATCTAGCAATCTACTTTATAGTAAGCCGTGTTAATCTCACGACTCTGTCGAAGCAATTGAGGCTCAGATTTATACAGAATTGCATGTTTTCTGGTTATCGTGAGACGAAGTGATCTAGCTTGAAACGGGATTATGTTTGATGTTTTAAATTAAGTCAAACCTTGCCCACTAATGTATATTTTGTAACAAAGCCAACGATAGTTTGTAGTGTACGTTACATGAAGTTCCAAATAGGTGTCAGTTGAATTACTTTAATGATTGTGCGAGTAGTTTACCATGAGAATAATATAGACAGGCGCCTCAAAATGACTATACACTGTCGTTTACTGGGCGAGAAATATATAAGGTAAAGGTAAAGTATATGTAAGAACAATGAATGCAATATGTATGTTTGAAGCCTTCTAGTAGAATCTATTACAGGACTTGTGTTTCGATTGTTTATTTATTATCGTCACATCCAACATAAATATTGTAAGCTGATAACTGCTCATTTCTCGTTGTGTGTATTTGTCACTACTTCGTGGCATTGTTTACAGATATCGTAATCCATATTAGCGAAGGTGAAGCGTATGAATAAGTGCTACCGACATGTGTCCTTCTATCGAAAGTTTTCTAACAGTATCTCGCAAAACATATAAATGAATTCTATTCGATGATATATTTTATTATGAGTTGTTGCTTAAGCCATGTAGCAGGCTTACTTCAATTCAATAACCGTATTGACCAGCGAGCGTTTGATCTTTCTATTGTGTTAAAGATCGTAATGATTGCTTCAGTGAGAGCTATGTTCGCTTACTTGAACTTTGTCTAGATGAAGATCGCTTTTGACAGCAGGTGCGGGCACCGGAAGTTATACGAAAGTGATGTTGTCGTGATTCTTGCGCATTGTGTTCATTTTATCGGCTTCTTACACCTCGCTTTCTTTGTATTGGCTTTTGGTGCATGCAGTGGGCCCGCAAACCCCGCTCTCCTCCCGTGGCACCTTCCTTGCAACTGCGGTGTACAGTCGATCGAATCCGCTACTCATGATTTATAAATTTACAACTCGATGTCGATAAGTTGAACGTGCTTATTTGGAAGACGCGTTGAAGAAGCTTCTCAGAAGAGCAATGTATCAACAGGCGAGACACATATAAGCTACGCATGATACATCCCTGCTGCTTTTGATAGAGACGAGTCAAAAAGTAGACGACTTACCTGATTGAGCTTGAAACTCCGGCGGCATTAGCTGCCCAGGACCCGAAACATCGATATCTCCGGTCTTTCTGGGACCGCTCCCATTGGCATGACAGCCTGTGGATTCTCGATGGTTCTGTTCAGCCTCTCACGGTCTCCAAGTTATCCCGCATTTCGCCCTGTCCGCTGCGCAGATTTGGTATCTACCGCACTCGACCTCGGCAATTTATATCTACTGTGCCCCTGTTTAGCGGCGAGGTCCCTCGACACCTGCACCCAAAGCTGCGGTGTTGGGCAACTACCATATTGCTTTCTTCTCCAAGCATCTAGGTAGCTTCCACACTGCAAGCGCCGTCATTGAAGTTACGGCATCCTACGCCACCCCTTCGAGCTTCCCGGTGGGTACGGTCACAAGACAACTTATTGGTTGGTGCAAGACACGACACCGTACACCAGACAGTCCCCTTCACGCCAGCTGCATCTCGGTGATGGCGGCCTGCATTGATTTTTCCGGGACGGTGTTCCGGATTTTCGGTCTTCTTTCACGCAAGAGACGGCTTTCTGGCGGCAACGCATCTCACGCCGCCTAATTTTTCTCGCACATCCGGATCTCCATTGGATCTCATGGAGTGTGCCGAAGACCGTGGACAATGGTCGGGTTTGGAAAGCTCTTATTCGGCAGGCATTTCAGTATCATAAACGGCAACTTAGTCCGTCCCTCCATACGTGGTGTAACGGGGTAGCCCGTTACATGATATTGTCACTAAGGCTAAATTGGCAATAAAGAATTTTGCGATGAATACTCTTTCAACAATGTCACAGAGCATGATGATATTGTTAAAGATGACCGAAGGGTCTACTCATTGGTTGATATCGTGATGATATCAATCCACCAATCGCTGCTAGACGCGCGCAATGGGTGGTGAGTAGACGTCACCATACATTTAGTTATATTAGTATGATTAAGTCAGGACAAACAGAGATACAAGAGTTATAGGACGTAATTATATTATTAACAGTTTTACTTTTCCTACGACTAGAGTCTTTCACCTTAGTCGTTCTACCTTCCTCTGTGTAGTTCTACACCTAGCTGGGCACTGACTATCACTACAGTCAGTGATAGTAAACTCCGTACTGGTTGGCCAGTACGTAGATGTCGGTGCCCCGTTACACGTGGCTCATCTGCTTTGAAGGAAATCCGCGATCGGATGCGTGGCTTGCAGCGGCTGAGCACCAACGGGCATCTCAGCTCTGGAAACACGCGAATAGCCTCGCTAAGCATTAGTATTGGACCTGTTATCGAGTCGGGATCAACCAACTGAATCTTTATTGTGCTGGACGACTAGCAAATGACCGCTGCAGAAAACTTGAGCGGTGCAAGGGTTTGAAAGAGACGGTGGCCCGCATTTTCTGGGACTGCCCGACTGCGCAAGCTGGTTGGCAGCAGCTAATGAACCACTAGACCGGGGAGGGATGGGGCGATTCGGGCTGCCGAATCACTTTCGGCATTGCGCTGCTCGTCAAGAACCACCGGTGTCATTACTGCTCCGTCAGCGTATGCATAGGCTGATAGTAATTTATGGCGCAGCTGGTTCATCTTATGTTCTACTTGCCAAGTACATACCTGGACAAAGCGCGATGCAGCGGTGTTCCTCAACGAGTTGGCTACTCCATTGCGGAGCGCGTTGACATTTCGGGACTCAGGAGTGCGGCAGCTGCGGGTGATCGCATTACGAGAACACAGGTCAGCGAGAACCGCGGTCGACGGGGCGCGTTTACACGCTTGTATTGAGTTTCTTCATCATTAGCCTACCCGGCCCTCGACCGCATTCGCCTTTCGCCACGAAGAGTCACCTTCACCGGTGCTTCTGTCATGGCTCATGATCTTTCAGACATCTTGTTATTGTTAACATGAAAATAGACGATCATGAAGCTCCTCTTCCATATTGAGTTCAAAACAGCAACAGGGATTGAGATATCCGCGACACGTCTGCTCTCCTCACTACCCTCGACAAGTCCTTGTATCTATCGGTATGCCAGTCCGTGTTAAGTACGTATCGAAAAGTAAGTAAAACTCCTTATTGCTCTTGCGATATCATAGGATCAAATATCGCCCTTCACAGGTTCGTAAAACGTTTCTTTTTGGCCCCTTCCTGTCTTTTACAACAAATCATGCGAATACCATCTTCTCCGCTAGGCACAAATTTAGACCCCACAACAAACACAATATGTAACCTAAAAACCGCATCGCAAATCGAGAATGACGAGGGCACACATTATATTTACCCACTCGACCATCGAGCGCTGCGATGGACCTGCGCGCGGCGCTGAACGCCGTGGACGACGACTACGGCTACGATGACGGTACGCTCTCCTGTCTGTAGCTGTGTTGACAAACGCTGTGTAGTCTCCTGACTACTGTCTGTACTGCGACGACGGACACGACCGTCTTTTGTGCCCAGAAACCGTCGAGCCTCCAGTCCCCATCCAGACCGAAATCGTGGACGTGTACCTCCTGCGCCCGGAAGAGCCCCGCGAGATCGAAGTCAAAGACTTTACCATTATGAAGCCCAAGAAGAACAAGATGCGCCGCCTGATTCGCTTCTACCCCCGCTGCCAGATCTCGTATCGAGCCACGCTGCCGGCCGAAGAGAAGATCGTGACGTCTCCCGGCGGCACTGTGACGACAACGATCCTTCCCGAGCGTCTGCCACGTCACAATGGCGGCTTTAGCAATCCAAGTCGCAGCTTGGAGCTCCTCCGACTCAAGAGGAAATTGCTGCAAGAGTACAACGCGTTGGTGCAAGACGACGATCGAGAAGCTGCCATGTTTGATGCTCTCATTGGCCAGAGTGCCCGCTCGGCCGAACACCGAAAGGTTTTAGACGCCACTGCTGGTAATGCCGAACGGGTAAGTACCAAACGTTCTGCGCCTGTACATACGTTGCAGCCGCCAGTTCCAAAGTACGAGCCAGTGGAGGTGGGAGACGAGGATTTTGTCTCGTTGACAGGTGACAAACCAGGTGGCATGACACTCGATGAGCGTGTGCAGTACGTGTCTTCGCTGTGGCCAAGCCCACCACCTGTCGATGACCACGAAGGTATAACGGATTACTACGGAATCGAGGTGCACATTGTTCCGGAGGAGGATAGTGCGAAGGAATATGCAGCAGAGACAGAGACTGAGGAGTGTATCGGCATGCAAAAGAGCCGCGACCTGTCGCTAGCAACGGCATCAATTGCCGTGGATGAGATGGCGCAGATGAAAGCAGACACTGGTAGTTCGACGCGCATATTCGATAGTGACTCCGAGACAACGATGCCGTCGTCTCCTGAGCTTCTCGTAAAGACGCACAGATCAGTGCTGCAGAAACTAAAACAAGCAGTAGCAGAAGACAGCGATGACGAGATCAGGCTGAATCCGATGATGTCGAAGCAAGACGACTGGGTGCAGTGCGACAAGTGCCAAAAGTGGCGCCGACTTCCGAGTACGATACAGTCATGGGTATGTAGAACGGATGGGGTGACTAACAGTATCACATTGATGTGCGTGCAGATCAAGTGAACGTGTCGGAGCTGCCAGCGGTTTGGTACTGCAAAATGAACCGCTGGGACAAGCATCACAATGTACGTTATGTGTTTAGTGTGACGACCGTATGCTGCGACGAAATCTGACAATGGTATTGCTGCATCAAGAAATGCTCGGCACGGGAAGAGAAGCTTGTGGTGCATCTGAAGCAAACGGATCTGGCAGAATACCGTCAGCGCAAGTTTGCTCAGGACTTCGTGCAACGCTGTAAGCGATTAGACCAATCGACACAACTCTACAAGTATACCCACCCACACGAAGACGACGGCGAACGTAAGTTCGTGCAGTGCTCGGAATGCCTGAAGCTACGTCCGCTCATTGGTGGCATGGATCCGAACAAGATAGCTGAACCTTTTGTGTGTTGGATGAACTCGGACGAGCTCTTGGCGAGTTGCTCGGCCCCTGAAGGACCGCTGTACCCCCGGACAAAATCACAGCGACATACCGTGCCATCACGAGAAAGCAACAGTGTTGTGTGCACCTCGTCCGGCTATGTTGAAGACGACCAGCTCGAACGAACGAAAGATGCCGATTCGACAAGTGACCCTGCTACGTCTGGATGCAGTGTTCGAGGCGGCAACAAGTCGGGCGGAAAAGGGAAGCGCCGTGCCAGATTTGGTTGTCGCGACAAAGGGGCAGGCAGTGGAAATGCAGATATGATGCTGAACAAGGCAAAGCGGCGAGCAGCAGCCTGAGCGACATCACACAAGTGGTAGTTGCTATTCGTCCTGCGTGGCACAAGACACCTGGAGCGTTGGCTGGGGGAATCAGGTCAAGTGTAGAGGAGAACCATCACAACGATTGCAACCGTTTTGGCGTCCGATACTGTTTTCGTCACCTTCCAAGCCATCGCTCCTCCCGTGGCTACGGTGCAAGAACCCGCCTGCTCGCTCGCTCGTGTCGCACTTCTTCTCGTCGCTACTCAGCAAAGTTGCGATACCTTCTGCAAGGAGTATCATCAGCAGACAGCAGCCCGGCGAGCTCAACCACGTCGGAATGGTCCACGCACGTGCTATTCGGCGGCCGAACGGTCAGACTGGGAGCTTCGTGCGCGGGTGGTCATCAAAACGGCCTGACTTGCATCACTGTACGAAGAAGCGCGTCCATACACGAGGCGAGACAGGGCGCGGCACTAGCAGAGAGCAGCACGTAGACGGCTCCAGCTGCAGGCAGCGAGAGACAGGAGTGGGTGGACAGGCGACAGCCACGAAAACCTATCAAGCATCATGCAGGTCCGACATGATGTGCGAACACTCGGGTTATTCTCCATGAGGGGTGCACCATCTGATGCAACGGGATGACGGGATGACGAGATGAGGCCGTTCCGTGGTACGGACAGTTGGGATAGCGTCACTGCAATAAGGTGTTGTAAAGCCTATAGCGTCGCACGGAAAGGAGTTGTCGCAGTCGATTGGGGTATTGCCACGAAGGAGAAACGATACGTCATTGCTTTGCTTCCACGTTTGTGAGATACGAGTTTGACAAGCTCTGTATCCCCGTCGCATGTCGACTAAAGTGCTGCGACGATGAACCCACGAACGCCCACGAGATCTTTGTTGTGATTCTACTGCTATTTGAAAGACCACAATGCCATCGCGTGGCTTTGTGGCCTATTGTTGGCACGTGACTGACTATATGTGTGTTGTCGCCAGCGGTTACCCATAATCCCTTGTGCTTCGTTTTCCCGGCCAGAGAACATCACTTGTGACACGCAATGGCTTTGGTAAACGGTGCAGTCTCTTTTCTGCCGCGTCGAAACGTGACGTAGTGCGACTACAACTACAGTTGGGAAGAGGTGCGAAGCTGTGCGCAATGTGCGACTTGTGTTGCCGTATGACTCCAATTGAAACAGAGCTCTAGCGCATCCATTGAGCCCCAGAGACGCGAGACGTCAGTCCCAAAAACGCAATGGCAGACACGCGCGCAACACTGATCTTCGTGTATGGAACGCTGAAGACGGGACTCTGCAACTACGCCGTCTACGTCCAGCCAGCCATCGAGCAGGGCAGGGCTGCGTTCGTGGGCGCCGCTCGCTCCACGAACGACGAGTTCCACATGATGCTGAACGACGAGGGCTTCTTTCCCTGTCTGTACCGCGTGCCCAAAGGAGAGGGCGACCGAGTGGCTGGGGAGGTCTTTAGCGTGGACGACGACACGATTGCAGCGCTCGATGCGTTCGAGCGCGTGGACGATCGATTTTACGTCCGAGACGTTCTTGATGTGGACCTCGTGGATGGCAAGCGCAAAGGAGAGACGGTGACTTGTCAAGTGTACTTGATGCCGGTCTATGACGACTTGGCCAGACTCGAGCGCATTACGAACTACACGGCTGCGATGAACACCCAATTTGCACGGGCAATGACGACCCCCCACTCTGAACTCGTCGAGAGCATCCTGGCCAAGATGAAGGAAAGGCAGAAGACAGCTCAGTGAATCACGGGCAGTGGGGCAACTGGGTTCATGTGATGAGCTCATGTGATGATTCATGTAGGCAGAAGGAAGTGGGTGGCGTAGCCGACTTGTAAGCGAACCGACAACACGTGTCGATCCAGTCTGCATGTTTATGTTTTGGCGTAAACAATCAGATGCGCTGTCCGAATGATGTGGAGCTCTCGAGGGGCTAGAGAATAAACTTGGAAAGATCCGTGCGCTCGAGCACGTTGGAAAGACGCTGCTGCACGTACTTCTTGTCGACCGTGAACGCCACACCGTTCATCTTCGGAGCGTGGAACGACACTTCTTCCGTGATCTTGCTGATGATAGTCGCCAAGCGACGAGCACCGATGTTGTCCCCCTGTGCGTTCACTTGCTCTGCGATAGACGCGATCTCGCTGATGGCGTCGTCAGTAAATGTAAGCGTCACGCCTTCTGTCTCCATCAATGCACTCGTTTGCTCCAGCAAGTTGTATTCCGTGTCTCGCAAGATCTGCTCAAACTCGGCAGCCCCCAAGGGCGAGAGCGCCACGCGAATCGGCAAGCGACCTTGCAACTCAGGCATCAAATCCGACGGCTTTGCGCGGTGGAACGCACCACTTGCAATAAACAGAATGTGGTCCGTGTACACAAGTCCATAGCGAGTGTTCACGGCGCAGCCTTCTGTCAGCGCCAGAAGCTCCTTTTGCACACCTTCGCCCTTACGGTAGCTCCCGCCGTTTTCTCCTCCGCGCGCCTGGTCGCCAGCACTAGCAAGTTTGTCAATCTCGTCCAAGCACACAATGCCGTTGTGCTGTGCATTCTCCAACGCCCGCTTGACCACCTCGTCGTCATCAACGATCGCGTCCATCTCCTCAGCTTCGAGGCGAGGCAGCGCTTCTTTCACCGTCATGCTCTGTGTCTTGTCTTGTCTCTTGCTGGCACCACCACTAAAACGCGACGCCATGAGCGTGTCGAGATGCTTCATCATGTTGTTCAACTCGGGCGGAAACTCCATCATCATGTCCTGGTTCGCCACTGCCGGACGCGCTTTGCTCGCCAGCGGCTTGAGTTCCAGCCGCACTGTGCGCGAGTCCGCTCGACCAGCGACAATGTCCTCGCGGAGCTCGGCACGCGAGCTGTCACGGAGCTTTTCGCGGTCCAGCAGGTCCACCAGTCGATCAACTGCGCGGTCGCGCGCTGCTGCAGCGTGCAGGCGCTGCGCTTCGGCCCTCTCCATATTCACAGCAACGTCCACGAGGTCCTTGATCATCGAGTCGGCATTGGCGCCGTAGATACCGACTTCAGTGAACTTCGTGGCCTCCACCTTGAGAAACGGCGAGCCCGAGATCTTCGCCAGCCGTCGCACGATCTCTGTCTTTCCCGATCCAGTAGGGCCGCTCATGAGGATGTTCATGGGCGACACTTCCGTCCGCAGCGCGTCGTTCGTGAGCTGCTGACGGCGCCAGCGCGAGCGCAGTGCGACCGCAACGGCCTTCTTGGCGTCCTCTTGGCCCACGATAAACTTATCCAGCGCCAGCACAACGTCCTCTGGAATGCGGTCCGCCTGTCCGCGTGGACTAAGACCGGCTGGGGACAGCGGGAGGTCAGTGGCGACCGCACTGAAGCGGCGCAAATGACTGGCGGCGCAGCGCTGCAGCATTCTGATGGACGAGTGCGTGTGCGAGGAGCTCGTGGTGGTGTGGTTATTCTTAAGTGGAGGTGGCTTCATGATGCTTGACAGGATGAGCGACGAGGTGGCGCACACATATAGGTGTGCGGTACATAACTATGGAAAGTCGGACAGGCCATCGCAGTGTACCCATTGCTCGATCAAATGGCACCTGTGACGGACTCGGACCGCATGCTGCTTCAACGTATTATGGTCTGTCGCTCGCCCGTTCCGTGACCGGTACTGCCGCAAGGGGCAACTTGAGTGGTGTACTGAACGACGTAACGTGTGTGGCTCTATACCTGCGTTGTGAACAGGCAGCAGGCGCAATGGAAGACGAAGACGTGCGGAGTTTGGCTTGTAAACTCACAGGCGAAGGTGTGTGCATTGGCGGTACACTGTGCCAATACATATTGGCGATGGGTCAGTGCGTGCCGACTGTCGTGTCGTTGGTCTGCAACAGAAATGACAGCGCCGCAGGTGGACCTAATGGTGAGCAAAGTGGCGGATACTATTCGCCCATTTGCGCTCGATGTGCGTCGAGGGATGTACGACGACGGAAAGATGTACTTGGCAGTCGTCAACACGGTGAGGATACACAAGCGAATACGATGATCGAACACGCTGAAGTGCTGCTGAGGGCTGACTGGACGCATGTTCGATTGCTTGTGTCGCTAGAGCAATGATTCACTCGCGGCATTTGCCAGCAGCTTCAAGCCGTGGGAGATTGTGTTCTTGCGGAAGGCGATGGAGGAAATTGTGGACACGTACGAGCAGATGCCGCTGCTGCAATGATTGCTGAATGGTCGTTATCGCTAACATGGCGTGTCCTTTCCTCGGTCCGGGGATGTGGGTGTGTGTGTGTGTGTGTGTGGTGTAGACAAGAAGGAGCTCTCGAAGAGTCGAGTTTGTATAACTTGCGCAAAAGCCCCACGACCTTGAATGAAGTGGAAGCGCTACTTCGCAAGCTTACAGCCGAGAAGTGGTTCGCGCCGAGTAGCGTGCAACTGCAGACACGGAGCTTCACGCTAGGACCGCGTGCGTACTTGGAGCTGATTGCATTCCTTCGTGACTTGCAGGTCAAAAAGTGCCCGATCTGCCAGTATGAGCTACTCCAGGGCGCGAAGTGCCACGACAAGGACTGTGATATGGTCGTCCATCGTGGCTGCATCGACAAGTATGAGAACAGGGGAGTGCGCTACAAGTGTCCTGCTTGTCGGGTCCCGTTCCAACGGTGATCTTGTCGACATGCCCGTCCGACTAAACAAGGCTGCAACGCTTTGGATTGGAACAGCAAAACGCGTTTGTAGTTGAGTGCTTTCTCTTGCTGCTTGTAGCTGTATGTTTAGATGTTCGACCCGGAGGCTTCCGACGCGGCATCTGGATTGCAGGGTAGAAGCGCGGCAGCCACTCTGCGGTCCTCGGCATTCAGAACGTTGAACGTGGCACACGCGTTGACCGTGTCCATGTACTCCACCACGATGCCGTTCACTTTTAGCATCTCCTGCAGCTCGGGGGACAATGCGCGGTTGATGCGCTCACCACAGCCGAGCACCAGGATCTCTGCGACAAACCACGTTCAGCCACTTGTCTTTGTACCACGTGCTTGCTGCCCAATGTCCAGCACCTTACCGATCGGTGGGTTGAAGACTGTGAAGACAGTCAGGTGTTCGCGCGTGATGTCCTCGACCCTCTTCGGTTTCCAGAGCTACTACCGCGCAATGCATCAAACCGCCACCGCAGTCACATGAACACAGCATCAGACATACGCGCAGGTACGTCTGTGTAAGTACACCAGCCATAGCAGCGACGAGGCGCCACACGACTTGTCGAGAGCGTTACCATGGAAATCTCCGAGAACAGCGCTACGCCTCCGCGCATATTCTGCAGTTCAAGAGCACCGTCAGCACCGTCAGCACCGCCCCCTTCGATCGAGTGCAGCAGAGCAGAGCAGAGCAGTGCTCCGACTCGATAGAGCGTCCGCGAAACGTACCACGTCATTGACGACGAATCCTCCGTCGTCGTACTCCGTCACGGAGACTTTGGCCGTCCCACTGAGCATATCCTGTCGAGAGTGGAAGGACAGTCGGTACATATTGAGCGCTTCGTTGACACTCCCTGCAGCTACAAACGATACGCGAGCAGCTACCGGACCTTGTGCATGTCGTGGCCGTAGTTGATCCATCGCCGCGTCACGTGCGTCGCAGGCCGCGCTGCCACGCGCACATGCGGTCGGAGCTGCAGCACCAAACGGCGGCTCATGGTCGGGGTGTAAACGGTTACACACGAACCAGCAACGCGGGGTTCGGTTACGGCCCACAATCGTAACCCGACCGTAACCCGCTCCGCCGATGACGGCCGTCGACGACCACCACGAGCGCTTTATGCGAGCAGCTCTGCAAGAGGTCTGCGACATGTGACCCCAACTTCAACTTGCGTGGATGCCCCACGCACGTCCTCATTGCATGTCGGCACTGAACCCATCATGTCATCTAACGATCGGACTGGCTGCAACAGGGCGAACTGGCGCTGACCCGCGCCGAAGTGCCCGTGGGCTGCGTGTTCGTGTACCAGGACGCGATCATCGCCCGTGCGTCCAACCGCGTCAACGAGCTCTGCAATGTGCGTACAGACACACAGCATTCGTTTTCCCTGCCAACCGTTCGCTCGGTGACATGTTTTGCCGATTGTGGTTGACTGCAGGCCACGATGCACGCGGAGATTGTAGCGATCGAGTCCATTGCCGCCACGTACGGCGGTCGAGCAGACGCAGTGCTGTCCGAGTGCACGTTGTACGTGACGTGCGAGCCGTGCATCATGTGTGCGGGAGCCCTTGCCAACATCTCGATCCAGCGCGTGTTTTTTGGCTGCCACAATGATCGCTTTGGAGGCTGTGGCTCGGTGCTGAACTTGCACGAGCGCGGGTGCGTGTGGGGCAGTTTGGTGCCAGTGTGCGTTGGACGCTGGACCGACGATGCGTGTGTGTCGTGTGGCCGTCTCTCTTTTTGTTGCAGTGCACTGCCGAATAGCGACGTGCATCGCGGCTTCCCGTGTGTGTCAGGCATCCTCAAAGACGATGCGGTCACGCTGCTCCGGAAGTTCTACACAAGCGCAAATCCGCGCGGTATCGTTTTCTTGTTGCGTGTGTTGTGTCGCTTTGAACGCTCCTCACACTGACACGATGCTGCTCTGCTGCTTTCTTTCTCTCCTTGCAGTAGAAGACTCGAAGAAGAAGAGGAAGAATCGCGGCGCGGAAACCGACGCGATTGCGACAAACGACAGCCATAGTCAAGCAAATGCGTGATTTCTACCGCTGATTCTAGTGGCGGTGTATCGTCGCCGCGTGGGCACCCTCTATTGCTTACTCTGCCGTTTCTTCAGCGCATTAGCGTACGGTGGGTTGATCGGCTTCTGCAACGGTTCCTGGTGGACGTACTTTGTCGTACAACCCGTTGCCGAGTCGCTCGCTGTATCTTCGTCCAGCGAGTACGATTGATCAGCGTCGTATCCAAACACGTCACCCGCGCCGATAAACACCACGTCAACACAGACGCCACGCTCTATCGATACTCCGCTATTGTACCAGTCGCCGTCTTCGTCTCCACTTTCGACATCTTCAATGTATTGCAAGTCCATCAAGTTCCGTTCCATGTCTGGTACAAAGTCGCTGGGCACACGGAAATGCTGACAAACTGCAAACGCCTCCAGACTCGAGTTGCGACTCGTTTTGGGCTTGGCACATGTCACATGGCTGAAAAAGCGGCAGAGCTGGGCGTACAGAAGCGACACCTCTTTGCCTCGAAATAGCTTGGCGACAAACGTGCCGCCTTCTTCCAAAATGTGCAGGCTGATGTTGAGTCCAGCGAGCACGAGCTGTGCCTGCAAGTACTCGTCCAAGTCATGCAGTCCCAGCACGTCGGGCGCGCCGTCACTCACGACAACTTGCGCTTTTTGGCCTTGGAACTGCGCCACGATCGCGTCCGCGGTGGCCTTGTGCGTGATGTCGCCCTGTAACTGCACAACGCCGGCGAGCGGCGCCATCTCCATGAGGTCCACAGCAACGATCGTGCTGCCTTTCGGTACGCGCTCGACAATCACTTGGCTCCATCCGCCAGGAGCTGCGCACAAGTCCACGACGCGCGTAGCGTGCGGCAACAGCTGGAACTTGTCATCCAGCTGCAGCAACTTGAAGGCCGAGCGCGCTCGGTAGCCTTGCTGCTTGGCCTTGCGGTAGTAAATGTCCTGCACCCCCCCCCCACACACGCCCCAAACAGACACGAGCTCAGCACAAGCACAGCCCAGTGCAGAATAGGAGGTGATCACATATATGAGCAATAGAAAATGAGAGAGAGAGAGAGAGAGAGAAGAACGAGAGAGAGAACGAGAGAGCGGACGTACGCGTTTGTCTTTGGAAGTTTTGCCCATGAAGAGGTCGGCCGGAGGAATGACTGGCTCGAAAGATTGCTCCGCTCTTCCACAGCGTGAGACAGCTGTGGAAACCCCGTGACAGCTGGTGGTGGCGCACGGAGCGTCTGGTTTCGTTGCGGCTGCTGTCCAACGCTTTCTGTGTCGTGCGCTGTGCATAAACAATCAGGTGGAGTGGCGGCTGGCGGCTGTACTGTGGTGATTACGCAATACAACTGGATTTGTTCCACGGCACTGCATCGGCGTCTAACTTCAATGGGGTACACTTAGGGTTAAGTCTGAGTGACTTATCATACATACCAACAAACCAACAAACCGACCGACCGACCGACCGACTGACACATCGACTGACAGATCGACCGACAGATCGACCGCAGCTCAAGTCACTTTGTGTTTTCCACTGCGTTGTCGCCGTCGTCATGCGCAGCAGTTTCGCGCAGCCGCACCACACCAACTACCACACCACCGCCCGCAGCGCCCACTTCGCGACGCCTTGCGACCCGTTCTTCGCCCCGTCCGTCCAGCCCCTGTCGCTCCCCGCCCCGCGCCCTGAGCCACTGCAGTACGCCATCCCCGTGGTGCACCCCGAGCCGAGCGACGCCGTCCTCGTCGTCTCTCCCTCTACGCTCGACTACTTGCGGCCACAGACGTGGCGGAACCTGCCGCAGCAACAGCAACGGGCGAGTACCGACGTGGGCATTGCGAGAGTGCACAGCGCTGTTCACGTGCGGACAGACAGTGACACTGCAATGGCCGCCAATGCGGCAACCGCTTCTACTGCTACGACAGCTACTGCTACGACAGGTACTGCTACGACAGCTACTGCTACGACAGGTACAGGGGCAGTCTGCAGCGCTCTGGAGGACAGACCAGAGGTGGTGTCACTGTCCTGTGCGACTAGTGCTACTGCCAGTGCAGCTGCCAGTCCAAGTACCAGTGCAGCTGACGGCGCGTCCCAACGCAGTGTGGATACGGCCGTGGAGACCATGTGGGAAGCCCGTCGTCGACGTGAAGAGGCCGAGGAAGAAGCTGACCGGAAGCTGCTCGACGCCGTGTGTAAGGCCTCTCTGGTGGAGTACAACGGCCGGGAGCGCGCGCTCGAGACGTTTGCGTCCGAGACGTCGCAGCAGACGCGCGCGCACGAGACGTCGTCGGTGGCTCTGCAGCGGGCAAAAGGTGAGGCCGAGCAGCGCAAACACGCCGCGATGCAGGTCGTGATTGACAGCAAAGCACGGGCCAAGCACATGAGCGAGAAAGCGCGCGACGCGACGTCGCTGTACGAGCAAAAGGCCACGGAGCGGCTCGTAAAACAAGCCGAACTCGACGCGCTGAAGCTCCGCGAGGCGCAAGCAGCCGAGATGCGCGCGATGCAGGAGCGCACGCAAGCGGCCGTGCTCAAGCGCGCGGAAGCCGAGCAAAAGGCGCGCGAAGCTCGGGACAAGGCAGAGGCCATGCGGTGCCGCGCATTTCAGGCAGCGTCCACCCTTCGCGCCAACTCGCGTCGACAGATCGAGACGCGGCTCAGTCACGAGGAGGCGCAGCGTCAGCAAGAGATGCAGCGCAAGTTGGACGAGATCGAGAGGGCAAAGGCGGCGGCGCACGAGAGACGGGAAGCAGCAGCCAAGAAGGCAGCGGACGCACGTCGTCGTGCAGATGAGCTCCGATTGCGGGCGGAGCAGGCCCGAGCGGGACTGATGAAGCACGCGACGGCAGCAGCGCCTCCGTCTCGGGCTTAGTGCGAGCTGGTCAAGTCGAGTTCCTACGCACGTGGTAAATATATATTAGTGACGACGAGTCAACAACAACCGTGTCGACTCATGCATCCGTTAACTAACTCCATAGCGGCCTTTGATGGGCAGCTATGGTGGACCCCTCGAGCGAGAAGAGTCCCACATCTAATGTCGTCGAACGGAACGCGCTGCTTCATTGCATGTTATAGACTTTCGCTCGAGCTGCACGTACCAGCAGACGCACTGATGCGGCGGCAGGAAACCATACCACAGCGCGTGTCAATGTCAAGCTCAGCTGTGTCTTCCGTGCACAACGAGTCGCTCCTTCGTCCCGCACTCGTTTGCTCCTTATGACTATCGACCGCAGCAGTTAAGAGGTCGGTGTGCATCGAGCCCTGGAACCAGCCGTACGAAAGTAGGTCCGTGACTGTCGGCCGCATCTGCGCGTCGGCCACAAGCACTTGCTTCAGTAGCCATTTCGCTTGGCTTGAAATGTGCGCAGGGTACTTAATGCAGTTGCGTGACACTTCTCGACGCAGGCGTTCAAAGTCCGAGTCGTCGAAAGGGGCGCATCCTGTAAGTAGAGCAAAGATCATAACACCGACGCCCCAGACGTCAGCAGGGCCTCCGTGAAAGCCTCTACGAGTGATTTCGACCGAAGAGTGGAGGAAGAGGATCTCGGGGCTGCAATACAACGGCGTACCGCACGCCGTCTTAAGTGTCTGTTGCGCATCGGCCACGGCTTCGGACAAGCCAAAGTCAATGAGTTTTACATCCAAGTCTCTAGTGATCATGACATTCTCCAGCTTTAAGTCACGGTGGAAAATGTTGCGCCGGTGGCAGTACGCGAGCGCCGACAGCAGCTGCCTGAACACACGGGCCGCTTGGTCCTCGGCCATCTTGCCGTGCTCGAGCAAGTGCTCCAGCAGGTCCGAGCCCTCCACAAGTTCGTGCACAATGCAGATGCGGTGCGACGTCTCAAACGCTCCGAGCCACTTGACAATGTTCGGGTGGTCCAGCGACTTGGAAATCTCCAGCTCCGACACGAGCTTCAGCAGTCGTCGACGCACGCGGTGCACGGCCTTCTCGGGCACGTACTGGCCGTCAGCGACCATGGAGCGACGCGCGTCGACCATCGACGCCTTGTCAAACACTTTCACCGACACGCGGCGACCCGTTGCCGTGTCCACTGCTTCGTAGACCGTCGAGGTGGCGCCTGTTCCCAGCACGCGTCCGAACGTGAGCTGCAGGATCGAAAAAGAACGTCAAGACACAGTGCATTGTCAGTCCCTGTCGCAGTGGCTTCTGCTACTGCTTCTGCTGCGCCTACTACTACTACTACTACAGCACGACTGATATCACAGACGTACGCGCTGTGCGAGTTCTTCTTCCGTGATTATGCTGCCAATCAGCGCACGTAAGCGGTCGTCGAGCGTCAGCCGCACGGACTTCTTGTACAGCGCTGGCCGGCGCGACAGCGGCGCGTGCACTTTGGCCGACATGGGCAGTGAGCCGCGGCGTTCGTTCATGCAGAAGAGCGACGCGCAGCTGCTGAGCAGCGAGTCGAGCAGACACGACATAATGAAAACCTGATCCGCTTTTCAAAAATCGGTCGGTCAGTCGGTCGGTCAGTCGGTCACTCTTTCAGTCACTCTTTCGAAAGTCGGTCGGCGTCTCTGCAGCTCCTTCTCGTTGAGGCTGCAAAAGCGAAAGTGAGGTCCATTCTGTCGCCATCGGTCGCTATCGCAGCGCTGAGTTCGTTTGCCAATCGTCGTGGCGCTTTGGTGGACTCGCGAGCCCTACCCCGCTCGTTCGCCAGCGCACAAAGACCAGTGCAGCGCCAGGTGTGAGTCGGTCTCGGAGCCGTTACGAAGTACGATAGAAAGCCATGCGACACGTGGACCTTACAGCGCGCGTTCGTGATACATTCGCTGGACGCGTCTGACCACACGAAGGGTTTGTTTGTTTATTTGTTTATTTGTTTGTCTGTTTGTTTCTTCCTGCAAAGGAAACTTTGCGGAGCTCAGCGTACGGTGACGGACGGGTATGGACGCACAGCCGTCGATCGCACGGAGATCACAGCGACACGAGATCCCCTCATGACGGACAGACATGAAAGTGAGTGGGTGGATAGTCAGTGTGGATTTCGCACACGTCAGAAAGGACAAGCAAGAGCATATCCAGGTAGTGTCGCAAGCATCACAAGCGTCCGGCTGCCATGCTGAGCTTGAGCCTTTCATGCTGCCTCTTGCAGCTTCTTGACGAGTCGAATGTGCGCTGGCTGAGCCGATACGTTTTTTGCTGATTCGCCGAGACGCGTGTTAACCAAATGAGCCGGAGCTCATTTGCTTCGTCCTTATGGCGAGCACTATGTTGTCAGATGGCATGTGCTCGTGCCCGACACAACCACACACATGTCTCATGTCGCGATCTGCAACCATCGCTGGCCCTTTTCCAGGCTGAGCTGTAGATCGCAACGTGCAGTTGCGACGCGGAATAGCGCCCAAGCAGCATTGAATGTGCGGTTTGCTCTCTCCCACGCACCGTCAGGGCATACAGCCGCAAACATGGGTTGTAGTGCACGCCCTCGGGACGGCAGGTTGCTTGCTTTCCCACTGCAACCGAACAAGTGCCTCGTGCATGTTTGGAAATCCATTGAAGCGAACTCCCTCGTGCGCATGGCTGCTGTACAGATCGACGTGGCATTCGTCTGGACAGGACGCCACGTCAAAGGTCAAGAAGTCGCAATGTTTACGATTGTAACCTTATCTCGCTGCACGTCAGCGTTAAATAACGTCGATTAACGGAAGCACTGGCTTTCGCCAAGGGCACTGCGGACAAAACAACCTCAAGGCTTTTAGAATTACGCGTCAACGTCTTTGTTTGACTGATAGAAAAGTATCAGTGCCCGACTGACTTGAGGAGCCTCATACGCCATCGAAAGGAGGAATGGCGAAAAGGATCGCATTGCGATCGTTGTCCATGGATCGAATGAGACAGCTGCGACATTGCATCGGATCACATGTACCCGCAGAAGTGCTGTTCCAACTGAAAACGTTCTGGTGTCTCGGTCGCGTCGACGGACTTTGCGCACAAAGACCCAAACGGTCTGTGTAAAACGACTGGTTCGTTTGTGTGGAAAGTACTAGAGGAGAAAGACACGTCGTCGTCTGTCTCCGTCTTTCGTCACTCACTGTCAATCACTGCACTCTTCTGCACGCGTTTCTACTTTTGCGACGAAAGACGATTGTCGCGTCCTCTTCGACGACTTGACCCGGCCATTAGTTGCCCTGCTGCACAATGTCGTTTTCACTACTTCTTTGTGACGTGTCCGCCACGCCAAATGACGAACGCTGTCTGCACTATTCCCACAACATCATCAGACGAACTCGTCACGATCGAGGGCAGATGGGTACGCGGCAACAAAAGTGACAGCAGGTCTCTACAGCAAAAACGTCCGACGCTGCAGTCCCTGGTAGGGTGTGCAACAACAGGTAACAGCTTGTTGTGTATCGTTGTGAAGGAGAGCTCATACAGCTACATCTACAAGCTGGCGAAGACAGTTTCGTCTGGAAGCCATGCATATAACGGACTTCTTCAGCGTAGATGACCGACGAAGAAACATCCGCGAACATCCATCCCGGTTGTAGCGTTAGTTCTGCAGTATGTACCTTTGTCGATGAGGGGTCATTTGCGCAGACACGCTCATTCGTTTCGTGTTCAAACAAGGTGTCATGCACGTCATAGGCCACGTCACCACAGATTGCATATCCTGGTCAGTTTGCATACACCTCGTATTACGTACTAATTGAAGCCGTCAGTTGCGTTTCCTGTCGACATCTCCAGCAAGCCTAGCATGCTGCCTCACAACATGAGCTTATCCGGAACTTGAGTCCGAGCTTTTTCCACAAAGTTGACTGCTGGGGCAATGTCGTCGTTCGAACTTGTCTATCTCTAGTCAGCTCCTCGAATGAACCACGATGACAGTAGAAAATCACGGTGCTGTCATGAAACTTGATGCATCAAGTGCAACGCCCGTGCACGTCAATGGGTAGCTCGGGTTGAGGAAGTATCGAAACGGATTCGACCGCAGTGCCGGTTGAATGAAGTTCTGCCATGGGCTCATGTAACTCGACCAAGCGGCTCAATACCTCGACTTACTCGCATCCGTGAAGGGCACAAAAAGGCACCATAGCCCCGATGCAGACACAAGCAAGTTTTTACGCAACGTTCCCACTCCATTATCAGGTCGCTACAGCTCACTGCAAATAAAGAAAGCGCAGTGACCGAAAGAAAGACATCAGTTGTGCATTAGCCGTTTTCGGCATGACTTTGACGATCAGATTGATCTGTGACTAGCGCTGCGTCAGCAACGATCGTGCAACAGGACGGTTTCTGCTCTGCAAGAGCGAATGATCTTTGCTTCTATTGCAGTCGTTCACAGCATGACTTGCCGTCACACGTACGTAGGCACGTTCGAGTCCATCGTAAGAAGTATCACGTTTAGCGTGTACCACAGTGTCAGCTCATCATGTCTGCGTTGCGTACGCCTTCCTATACTTGGCGGATTGAAGTGCAGCCACGACCTCTAATCCACCAGTTCAGCCATCATGGAAAACGCTGTACAGAAGTGTCCTATTGTAAGCGAATATGCCGACCCTCTCCCATCCGTAATCACCGACGTGGCTGCTATTGATCCGTTCCTGGCACAAAGTACAAATACTGTTTTTCGTGTTTACAAATAGCATTGTACACTCCTTTTTCTGTTTACACGTGTTTCTTTCTTCTTCTTCTTCTTCTTCTTCTTCTTTAGTCTCTCGCAGTTTACCGCCAACAGTTTCGCCACGTGACACAGCAGTTTGCAAGTGTCGCCATGTTCTTTTGTACGCCTTCGTCGTGCTTGGTAGTCGAGTGTGCGTACAGTCTCGTCACTGATGCGCGCTCTCTCCCGCGCAGCGTCTATCAGAATGGCAAACGCCTCGCAAAACCAGACCGCTGACTACAGTTTTGAGCTCCCTCTGCGACCACTTCACGCAGTCAAACCTGATGCTGTACAATGGATACAGCGGTATCGCTGTCGTAACGAAAACGGAATCAGTTTTTCCTGCCTTCTGCCTGTTCTGCTGGATCTGAGTCCAGTGGCCGCTTGCTCGGTTTATACCCACTTTTTTCACGTCGAGGGGCCGTCTATGTGCCACGTACTTTCCAGCAGGCAGCAAATGTTGCTCGAAAAAAGAATCGCTCTGCGCGTGGCAGCCCCCCCAAGCTTTAAAAAGCGCTTTTTCACGGTCCACTCGGCGTTTCTCACACGACCGACCGCATTGCGACCCACATTCGACCGCGTCTCCTCCCGACCGAAAACTGTGCGTCTTCCACATGCATCGGCCACGTGACCTCTCGAAACGCATTCCTCCACCTTCGCGTCACATCCACACCCACCCAAACTCACCACGGCCCGACACCTGCCGCCTACCTGCCTGCCCCCCGGCCATGGCCGCCTCTCTTCCGTCGCCGCTGCCCGAGCCGCTCGCGCCGCACCACACGCCCACGACCGGCAGCACGTCGCCCATGCCCGTCACGCCGCACTCGTCCGACGCGCCGTCCGCGTTCTTCTATCGCTCGTCCAGCAGCAGCAGCAGCGACGCGTTCGCTCCCGCGCCAGCGGCGCTGTCCTCGTGCAGCGCCTCCCGCGCCACTGCAGCCGACACGCGCCGCTGGCTGCGCCGCAACGTCGTCCAGCGCGTGCTGTCCGCGCTCTTCTTCGTGCCGCTCATCACTGTGTTCCTGTGGCTCTCGCCGGCCTTTGCCACCGCCACGTTCTGCACGTTCGTCACGAGCATCTGCTCGTACGAGTACGCGTGGCTGCACTACCGCATCTACGTGCGCATCTCGACGAAAGTGGCCGTGAGCGAGTCGCGGCTCACGCACCGACACGAGGCCCCGACCGACGTGAGTACGGCTCGGCCCGAGCAATTGGTCGACAGTCGGCGCTCGTCCAACAGCTGTCTGAGCCGCAACGTACAGAACGAAAGCAGTGGACAGAGCCGCAACGTGCGCGTCATTATGGGCGCAAGTAACAGCGACCTGGGGAGCGAGTACGGTGGTCGAAGCCACACGGGGGAGAGCACGACGGGCGAGACGGCGGAGCTGTCGCCGTTGGCGTTTCCACGGCAGCTTCGCGCGAGCTTTGGGTCTCATTTGCTCGAGCTCATGGCGGACGAGCAGCAACGGTCGAGCCACGGCGGCGTTGGGATGGATGCGAACGAGCACGTCCATGCAGAGGACGCGGGCTTCTCCAGGAGTGCCGTCACGGGCATCGCCGATCGCTATTTCTGCCAGAACGAGTGGATCGCAGCAATTGTGCTGTCGATGCTCACGACCGTCTGCACGACGGCGATGTTCCTGACCTACGTGGACTACGTCCCGGAGCTCCATGAGAAACAGCTGTACAAGCTGCGCTGGTTCTATAGCATTGCCACGGACTTTGTTGCTGCACTGTGTGCCTTCTCGACACCGGACTGGACGTATGCGTGTATCTGTCTGCTGGAAAAAGTCATCTTCACGCTACTGACGATGCACTCGACGGCGTGTCCGATCAACCGCCTGCGGTGCGGTATTTCCTTGGAGCCAGCACAGGTGTTTCTCGCAGGCGTGGCTATCATTGTCCTCTTTCGTCGACACACGAGCTCATCAGGACCGTCGACGTTCCTGCACATTGCACTGGACGTGCTCGGCTATCTGTACATTATCGGCAGTCTGTCTGTGCTTGTCGCCTTTGTGGACGACGAGCGACTGGAGTCGTACCGCAAGTTATTGATCGTGCTGCTGTATGTCGTATGGGCTTCCGATACAGGGGCGTATGTGACGGGTAAGTTTCTGGAGCGGATACACTACCAGTACTACAACCCTCTGTCGTCGCACTTGTCCAAGAACAAAGACTATGAAGGAACGATCGGAGCCATTCTGTTTGGTGTCACTGCGATGTTCATCGCGTCCGATCTGCTCAGTGTACCGGGCTCTGCAGTGGCGCAAATCGGGTTCACCGTGATGGCTGTGATCGTGGGGCGACTTGGAGATCTTTTCGAGAGCCTCTTGAAACGTGCGGCAGGTGTGAAAGACTCTGGCAAGCTCATCCCTGGCCACGGCGGTGTGCTGGACCGCATTGACGCACTGATGTTTGCTTCGCTTGTGTTTGCGCGATACTACGCTTCGATTGTAGTATGACGCCAAGCATGTGGATCTGAAGCAGATTGCGAGGAGAAAGTGGAGTATGTACGAAAAAAGCATGCAAGGGGTCGAAGACGGCAGCGCCAATACGTAAATCACTGTCAGCTATTGCTATTGGATGGCCAAGTTACAGCAAGTCCAATGCGCGCTCCGTAGCTGTTTCTCGTAACGGACCACGGAATGCACTCCTAACTGGAGCACATTCCACTTGGGCCGTATCTTGCCTATGACCATGGACACAAGAGCTCAACTGCAGCCGCCTCAGCAGCCATCTCGCCCATTATCAGCTTGACCAGTGTGAGCGCGAACTTCATCACCGTGCCAGCACCCTGGGCCGTTACGCATCGATTGTCGACGACAACGTCTTCATCCACGAACTCGCGTGTCATTTCCGGCTCGTGGGGCAGTGAGCATGTTGCGCGACTTTCAAGCAATCCATGCGGGTTGAGCACAACCGCAGGTGCCGAGGAACTTGCAGCGATCCAGCGTCCCGCTTGCTTCTGCTCCAGCAGCATCTTAGTCACAAGATCTGAGTCACGCAAGTGGCTCGCGCCGTCACCCTACTCGTGCAATCGACCACGGTCAGCTCTACGTTAGTCTCATGCCAGTTTTCCACGATGAGCTTTGTGCACCAACTTCATGAGCCTACCCCAGGCACAACGATCAGGTCGAAGATTTCGAGGCTGCACCTATCGATAGGCTTCTCGGCCTGGATGTGCAAGCCGTAGTTGCCCACAATGATGTTGTTTTTCGCTTGGCCGACCGAGCCAATGATGACATGAAGTCCGCCGCGGACTAAGATGTCCGACAGCGCTAGCGTCTCCAGCTCGTCGCAACCGTCTGCCACGACGATCAAAGCACGTGGCTTTGCACGCGGCAGCCTGCGAAGCGGGAGGTTATCACCGCCCATGGCAGTATACTCGGATAATCCACCAGCCATCATGTTTGCTCTTCTTCCGAGGTCGATTCCGTTGTGAATGTAAAGAAGACGATGGCATTACAGCTTCAAGACCGTTGGGTGAAGGAGACACGGCGTGTGGGAACAGCCGACGTGAACTTCAAGAGCTCCAGGCTCCTACCGGCAGGCAGCCTTGCACACCAAAGCTTTCCACTAAGACAAATCATGGCTCGACTTGCGCAGGCAATCAACGATATCGTGAGCCCGAAGCCTACGGCGCTCGTCCCGGTGGTCAGTAGCTTGCTGTGCAGAGTAGCTCGGATCGTTCATGCGTGCGTGGCTGACATGTGTGGTCAAATGTAGGCCTTGGGCTGTGAAGAGATCGAGGTGGCAGCTCTTTGCGCCATACTTGCCCGCGGTGGTGTGCGTGTGACCGTCGCAAACGTCGGAGGACACCTCCACCATATAGTAAAGCTGGCGAAGGGCACGAGCGTGCAAGCGGACAAACCGATCGAGTTTTGCGTCAATGACGACTACGATGTCATTGCCGTGCCCGGTGGTCCGGGTGCAAAGGCTCTGGGCGCTTGCCAAACGCTGACAACACTGCTGAAAGAGCAAAAAGCAGCGAGGAAGCTGTACGCTGCGGTTGGCGAAGCCGTTCGTGACGTGCTCTACCACAATGCGGTCGTTGAGGGCCCCATGGCTGGCGATCCAGCTGATCAAGTGCATCTGGGCGACCTGTACTCACCTGACAAATTGGTCATCGCTGAAAACTGTGTGACCAGCAAAGGCCCTGGGACGGCCATCGCGATGGCCATCACACTCGTGGAGCTGCTTCGCGGCGAAAAGGTTGCGCGGAAGATCGCCAAAGACATTGCGTTTGAGCCCATTAAGACGTGAGCGTGCGCACGAGTTGCGATGAAGCTGCAGAAATGTGCGCTTCGATTCCTGATTGACACGAGACAAGAAACTGAATAAAAAGAGGAGAAGAGCTCTATGTTAGCTGCATGAGGCGACAAACAGCAAACGTGCAGTCAGTTCCAATGGGCACTATCTACTTACCTTGCGGACGTGGACGTGGACGTAGCCGACGCAAAGTCTACGCACGTCGTTTATGACGCGACCTCCTTGTTACGAATGAGACTCACTCTCATCATTTGTACAAGATGCTGTAACGCCGTTGCAGCCTTTTGTTTATACGGTGACATCGGGTTGTAATCACGTTGGATGCGTTACAACTGAGCGTCTGTCATCGACGATATCCATGTGTCCTTCCTCGCAACGTGGTGACGCGTGACACGTGACAGCACCAGGTCCTGTAGTGCAAGTAACAGCTCCATCTTCCATCAAACTTCCAGCTCTTCCCGTCTCTCTGCTTCTGCAACGTCGTCAACTTCCGTCAATTACATACATCACATCGGCCACTTGGCGGTCGTGCGTGACGACGCACAGCGCTCATTACTATCGACGTCTCGCGCCTACGCTCTGTTTATCCGACGCAAAGAAAGGGAAGTTGGCTACGCATGCCGACAACAACAGTCGCACTCTCGTTCGAGTGGTCCATCCTTCGTCCCACACGCGCATCTCTCTCGTCACGTACGACCGATCCACTCACCAGCTGCAGCTGCAGCTCTGGACCACTGCAGCGATCAGACAGCCACGTCGCATGCAACAGCATCGCACAATGCGCTCCGAGCGTTTCCATTCTCTGTTGTCCGTCAAACTGCAGTAGCCGCAGGAGGTCGTCGCAGTGGCTCGTGGGTACATTGTCCACGGGCAGCAGCAAAAGGCGACGAAACGCGTTCGAAACGGCGACAAAGAGCGGAAACAGCTCGAGATCGAGCGAGAAAAGCGGTCGGTGCTACTGCTGCCGTTGTGGCCCACGACGTTGGGACGACGCGAGTCAAAGCTGCAGCTCCAGTGGCTCAGCGGTCACATGTGAGACGCTCCATAGTGGAAGCGGCCGTTACGTTGCTCGAGTGGTTAAAAGTGAGTGACTGTGAGTGAGTGACTGTGAGTGAGTGAGTGTGTCTCTTTTCTGTACAGAAAAACGCAAAAGGGTCGAAACGGTTTGGAAAGCGTTGCCCCTACCCCTTCCGCTAGAAAGAAACGCAGCACATAGAAAAGACGCAGCGCCGTTTCTGCCAATCGGAGCTGTTCGCAATCGAGGAAAAAAGAACAACGGCGTCGAGAAAAGCGCGCGCGCCAGAGGGCGCAAGTCCAACTGCGCAGGTCAAGCTATCAATAGAGCGAGCGAGCGAGAAAGAGCGGGAGAGCGATAGAAATCTATGACGCCGCGCCGCCTGTTTACGTCATGCCGAGACTCGCCGTACCGGACCAAAGTGGCCAGTCACCACTTGATCGCCACAAAGCGTCGGCGCCCTTTGGCCCCGTCATTTCTGTCGTGTGTCGTGTCGTGTCGTGACTGTCGTCGTGTCGTGACTGTCGTCGTGAGCGTGTCGTCTCCGTGCCTGCCATGGCCGACATGAACCGACGCAGAGGGGGGCCGAGCCACACGTCGCAGCCGCCGCAGAGCCAACAGCCGCCGCAGCAGCAGTTCTCGGTCTACCCGCAACCCATGCAGACCTCGCCCCACCCCTACCCTTACCACCACCACCAGCAGCAGCAGCAACAACCGCAGCAACATCAGCCGTCGTACCCGCAACATAACAAAACCGCAGGAGGGTACGCCACGCGCACCACTCTGTACCGCAATGCTGCAGGCGGCCCTTCGACCGCCAGCAGCAATCGTACCCCCGGAGGGCTGCGGCCCGCCATGTCTGGCGCCAAGATGGGGATCAAGAGCGGCATGACGGTCGAAGAGCTCAAGCGCCTGACGCAGAAGCGCATGCAGCAGTCCGCAGGCGGGGCACCGGGCCCCAGTAGCAATCCGGCGACGCCCACGGCCGCCGCTGCCTCGGACGGCTTTTCAGCTTCCAGACCTGCAACGCCGAAGATTAATGCGGCGCTGGCGACTGCTGCCACGTCGACCGCGCCGGCTGCAGTCGCGACACCGCCGGGTGGGGCTGGTCCGAAGACCGGTATGTCGGTGCAGGAGCTCAAGCAGCTGACAGCGCTGCGGGTGGCGTCGCAGCACGTGCCCGTGCACGCCAGTAAAGTGACTGGACTCGTGAGCAAAGCCGTGCTGCACAATGCTGCCAAGTCGCACTACCGAGAGACTGCAGGACGCAGCTCACTCGCTCCGGAGCAGACAACGAAGCGCTCGCACCACACGCGGAGCAGCAGCAGCACGCAACTTGATACTGCACAGTACACTGGCTTTGGAAACGACGCGATGCGCAGTCGTGGACCGCTGAGCTCGGGATCGGGCGACGCTCGTGGCCACCGCAGTCGGTCGCACAGCTCTCAGTTGCCGAATGTCGACTCGACGGGACATAGTATGCCCATGCGCTATTCGTACGCGGGCGGTCAGACGCCTGAGGATTACTACGCTTCGTACGACTTTGGAAACGCTGACGGCAGCAACTCGATGTCGTCTTATGGATCCGACTCGGGCCGTGGCAGTCTCGATGATGGTATAGCTTCCGGCCACAGTTCGTTGCTGCAGTTCTCACAAGATGCGTTCCCTCCGCCGCCACCGATGGACGAAGGCGGTGGCTTTGTGTCCACCGCCCTTCCTTCATGGTCTCCTCCTCCAGCTCGGACGAAGAAGCTCAATGCGTCTGCAAGCATCGGTGCGACTTTCTATAGCCAGCAAACATCGTACTATAACACCCCATCGACAGAAGAATCCGCCGTGGCAGGTGACAATATTGCTGGCGCGAGTCCAGCACCGGACCAAAACTCGATGCTGGCACCGCCACCCGGACTCACAAGACGGCCTTCGATGACGGTCCCGTGGCAAGTAGCTGAGGCCGTGCTCATGACGCCACAAACGAAGTCGGGGCGTAAGAAGCTGGAGTTGGATTCTGAGACCAGTTCGGGTGGACTGAGCTTGTCGGCAGCTGAAGCTGCGGCGCATCTTGCTGGGTTCTCGCTCCAGTCGTCAACACGGAGTCGAGGGAATGCTGGCACGCAACCACCACCTCCATCAGCAACGTCGTCGAGCTCTCCATCAAGCTCGACAGGTACCTCGCAGCCAGGAGGTGCGACCGTGACTCGGCGTGGCAGCTTTGGCAATGCCGCCGAGTTCTTCAAGTTCCGTCGTCGCAGTAAAAGCCGCTTGGAACTTGCACGTGACCAGTCTTTCGGCGACAATGGGGAGACGACAGGTTACCCGTGTTACGGCGCAGCTGGTTCGATGCCTGGGATCGCCGAGCGACACGGCGATGCTGAGGACGGGATGCGCGACGATTCGGGTGCCAGTTCGTCAACGTCAGCCAACGACGAATCGAGCTCGCAGGGTTACACCGATGAGGACGTGGTGCAGGTGACAGGTGGCTACGACGACACCGCAGAAATCTCCGGCAGCTTTGTGTCGTTTTACAACGCTGCTCGGCAGCACCAGAGCGGTCTGTCAGCTCTGTCGATTCCTCCTCCCCCGCCGCCGCCCATGACGGATGACGACGTCGGGTCTTCGACTACATCGTCGACCAAGGGCCAGAATGGGCTGCCCATGATGAGTCCCAACGGTGCGCGACTTCGAAAGGTGGCGGAGTTGGCTCGCCAAGGCAGCTTGAGCAGCGAGGACAAGACCCGCGCGAAGGATGAGATTATTCAGAGCTCGTTGGGCATTGGTGCAAGCAACGCGGCGCGCCTGCTCGCTACGAAGAAGGAAGATCGGGGAGACCGTGTTCCAGCCACAGCGCCGTCGAGCGCGGCACCGCCCGGTCTCTCTGGTATGCTGCGCACGACGCCGAAAGCCTCTGCGAAAAAGCTGCCTGGATCTGGGATCGTGCGTAGCAATGCAGTAGAGCGTGCAGGGCCGTCCAGCATCTCTGCCAGTGCAGCCGCAGCAGCTGCTGCTCTTGGGGCCACGATATCGCCAGGTCCGTCTGCTACTTCCCAACAAGCTGGCACGGCGAGTAGCAGCTTCTTGGAAGAGCGACTTGCTGCTGCAGCGCAGAGAGTTGCAGATTGCGTCGGCAAGGGCGACATGACAGGATTCCAGCATGCCATGGATGAGCTGGATTGGCTTCGCAACGAAGCTAGCAAGATGATGGGCGGGTGAGTGAAGCTTGACGTGGAATGTAAGGTGCGTGAACCAGCGTCGTAGAGCAGCAGCAGCAGCAGCAGCCTACAAGCGAGACGAACAAGAACAGACAAATAGTGTAGATATCGGGACGAAAGAGCTTGCGCAGCCAGGATGTCCAGCAGGCCCGACGTACCGATCGATTGATTGCCCAACATAAAGAACCCCTAGATGCTCGACTGCTTTGCTTCTTTGCGCTAGAGCAGAATCTTGTACTTCTCCGTGGACGGCACGTGGTTGATAGCAAGACGGCCATCGTACGACACGGAAGCGAACAGCCACGCATCTCCTCCCGCAGCCCACCGCGCTGCGTACACGGCATCTTCGTGGTCTTCCACTCGTCGAATCAGCGTATCCACAACAGGAGCCCCGCCGGCCGTTTCGTCCATGAGGTCACGGTCGTCCAGCTCGACAAGCGGCAACGACGAGACGGAAGATACTCGCCACAGCGCCACCGTCGCATCGGAGCTTCCTGAGAGCACGAGCTGGTCATATTGCGGGTGATAGCGCGTGCTCCAGACCCAGTGCGAGTGTGCATTCAGCGTCAACACTGGCTTGCGCGCATAGCGCAAGTCCCAGAACTTGAGTTTGCCGTCGTCGCCACCAGTAGCGAGAGCGTAGGGCTTGTTCGGGTTGAAATCAAGTGCCAGCGTTGCGCTCGGGTGTGCATCTTGGACACGCACGCTGTCCTTCTTGGCACGGACATCCCACGTCCGCACACTACCGCCAAGAGCAAAAGTCAGCTGCAAAGCGTGATGCGGATCCCACGCCAGCGCGCTAGCCGCTCGCTTTGTCGATCCACCCAGCATCGATCCGTCCAGCTCCAGTCGATCCAACGCGTCCACTGAGCTCCCACTGACGCGCCACGTGCGTAGCAGCGTCTCATGCGCCGACGCTACCGTTGGCGTGTCCGTTGTAGTCTCCCACGCGACTCTGTCCCTCGACACAATCACGCACAGTCAAACGGTGAGCTCTGGACGTGACTGCTGCACAAGTTGCACACACGTCGTCGATCGCTCGTACTCGGACACCGGCAGTCTCTGAACTGGAAATGCCGCGAGCTGCTCCATCTCTTGCGCCTTACCAGAAGTAGCAGTAGGAGCACTAGCACGAGCTTCAGCTTCTTCAAGGTCCCCTTCTCCACTCGTCTCTTCGTCCGGCAGTCTCCAGAGCAAAACTTGAGCCGGTTGGCCTCGTGCTTTGCTGCACGTGAGCAGCAGCTGGCGGTCTTGAGGATTCGGGACGAGCGCGAGCACTTCCCCAGGGTGACGCAGCACCTGTCGCGTGCCCACAGTACTTCCGTTGTCCGTCACTTCCACGACATGAATCTAATGGTGACAAGCGACAAAAGAGCGTCAGTTGTCAGTCCTCCAAACTCATCCCATTGACTCGTCAGCAAATGGAATTGAATTGAATTGATCTCATCGTCACTTGGAGAATCTATCCAATCATCAATCAATTGTCAAAGATCAATTAATTGTCAATTAATTGCAAACGAACGTTATTCGACTGGTTCAAGGCGCTCGTCCCGAGGAAAAACAGCGCACGGTCTTTCTCGGTGGGTACCGGCTCGAGCGTCCGGATCTACGTATACACCACACCACACACGCACACGCACACACACAAAGACCCTCAGCAAACAATCAAACACACGTATCCAACTGCCGTCATCAAACGTCAACGAGACAGCACGTCCATGACGCACCTGACAGCCAAAGCTAAAGCTGCACGCGCCCCCTCTCTGCATTGTTGTTTGCCACTCACTGCTCGTGCAGTGTATATCGTGTATACACATCCCATGCGACACGCGCAAAGACGAGATGTACCCTTCGTACTTACCGCACGGGCAGGGTGGGCCCAGAGACGGGACTGCGTACCACCCTCTGTAAATAGAAACGACGGCCCATTTCTAAAACCAGCCACCCACCCACACATCATCGACCTCTGCTGCCGGCGCTGTCACTCTCGCGGCCGTCGCAGTCCCATGTCGCTCCAGTTCCTGAGTCAGAAGAGTTGGCACCCGGCGAACAAGTCGAACCAGAAGCGCATTTGGATCGCCGAGCAGGAGGCGCTCGAGCGGGAGGAGCGGGAGAAGCAGAAGGTCAAAGAGGTGCGCAAAGCGGTGCAGGCGCAAAAGGCTCAAGCAGCTGCTGCGGCTGTTTCGACCGCTGGTACAACAGACGGTACGGGAGCGCGGCACGGGGCGGCAGAGCAAGTGCAGTTTTTGTATACGGCTCCTCCTGGACTCGTGCAGGTGGCTACAGACGGGGCACGAGAGAGAAAACAGCACAGGGCAGTCGAGGAGGACGACGCCGTGCGCGAGTTTCGACGCAAAGCTGCGGGACGGACCGAGTCGCAGCGTAAACTCGAGCGGTACGTGGGACGACGAGCACAAGAGACGCTGACGATAAAGGACCAAGTGGACCGCTTCCCTGTGCTCAAGGGCGCGCCCGTGGAGGGGAAGTACACGGAGACGATCCGCGTGCAGTTTAATCCGCTGGGACTTCGACTGCGCAACGTGCGCTGTCTTCGATGCAGTGAGTGGGGACATCAGAGTGGCGATCGGGAGTGCAAGTTACGCAACGTGAATCCGAACGGTGCGTTGCGTCTGATCATGAGCGTCAGTTGTGGTGGACGGACCAGTTGAGTGGTGCCTGCTGACGTTGTTGTGGTGTAGATGCTACGAGACAGAGGTGGGAAGACCCTGTGACGGAGATCAATAAGCTTAAGCGGGTAAAGCAAGAGCTTGTGCTGAGAAGAGGAGCTCTGCCATTGGAGATGCAAGAGGACGGAGGAGAGTTTGAGATATTGCAGTCGGACGACGGTAATCGATGTCGAAGGGTAGCAAACGGAAGCATGGCTCGGCCTGACCTATTCTTGCCACGACTGTTGCTGTAGATGGAGACGTGTTTCTGGCGGAATTGTCCGCAAAGCAGCAGAAGAGATTGCTGAAGAAGTTGAAGAAGAAGTCAAACAGGTGTGGCAGTCATTTGGACCCTGAAATTTCATGCCGTCAGCAACTACCTCGAAAGACAGGGAAGCACAAACTGTCGAGCATGCACAAACACAAGGGCAAGCGTAAGAAGCGCTCCAGGAATCAGTCGTATGATGCGAATGACAGCTAAGGCACTGCTTTTTGATGTCGTGATGCGTCGATATCGTCGGGAAGTGAGTCGCCAGTGTCGGATCGCTCATCGCGGTCGAAGCTGACAAACAATCTTGACATTGACGGGATTGCCGAAGTGGTAGTGGGCGCGCGTGCGCTGCTCGAACCGACAAGAGTAAGCCAAAGCAAGTCCGATCGAATCTGAGCACGACGGACGCGTTGTCGTAGCTGCTACAAGATCAGCTCGGAACCGATTGTTCTTTATTCGACGCATCTGTCCATACGACAAGTTTTTGACGAGTGCTACGGGACCGGGACCCCAGTAGCAGAGTGCACTGCGATCGAAACACGAGCGGTCGCACGAGGCACAGCTGGGATTGCACTATTATGCACTGGTGGTGCCGTAGGAGGCACCCGCTGCGACAGCCATTCCCGCACCCATGCCTGAGGCTGGAGGACGGCTTCACTCCACTCGCGCGTATGTACAAGCACGACCGATCGATGCAATCCGGCAACAGTCACACGCTCGTTAGACATCACGATGTGGATCATTGGCGCAATTGGCAGCTTACCTGTCTTCCATAAGCGACTGACAGAGGTTGACCACCAGCACCGCCACAATGATCGCTGCACCCTGGCCAGCACACGCACGGACGGTGGTGTCCATGCACTGTACGGATTGTGGAAAATACACGTGCTTGACCGAAACTGCGATGAGGTACCAGACAATGACAAGGCCCGCGACTAAATCTTGGGCGTAATGTGAGGTGAGCAGTCCCAGCACGATGACAACGCAGAGGAAGGAGACGTAAGTAGTGACGCGCACGAAATCTTGATTGGAATGCTGCACCGACATTGCGAGCTCCGTGAAGGCGACGGTCGTGACCCACGCAAAGTACACCGAAATGGGCAGCTCATTGCACAGGTAGAGTGTCCAGTCAAACGGCCCCGTCTCGCGCGCGTTGCGATCGTTAACGGCGTACACATAGAGCACCAATAGTGCTAACCACAAGGCGAACATGATCACGGTTGAGGCGTACACGTGCCCCGACACAAACAAGAAGACCCATATTGTGTTGAGGATGCACGTTGCACCAAAGCACAAGCGTAGCTGGGCTGGCTGGTTGGCGTCGGCGAACATCGAGTACCGTGGTGCCAAGACGTCGACAATGACGAGCGCTGCTTCCAGCACGTAGACGAGAATCCACATCATCAAGGCATAACTTGCAGGCGTGATCAGCGTTTCGTACTCGCGTGTCACCGTCACGAATCGCTTGGCGTAAACGATGTTCACGACGGCCTGCATCACGAAGAGCGCGGCATTCAGCAGGGCAAGCGACGTGCCTTCCATTGCGGACGTAAATTGTGCGGACGTGCTAAAAGTGGGCGAAATGGAAAGTGGTGGAGAGAAAGCTTGGCCCGTAGCATGCAACGGCAGCTTCTTCCTTCGCGACCGTTAGAACCGTCTCGACTGCAAACAGGGACAAGAGGTGATTGCAGCAACGATTCGTTGGATGAATCTTGGCGCAAAAAGGGTAGCGGTGGTGAGTCTCTCACACCGTCCCATACGCAGCACTACACTCGCGGTCTTGCTTGCTCATCGCTTCCAGAGGAAGTTTTGCTGCTGCGCATGGACGAGCGAGTTAGTTCAGGACGTCAACTTCAACGTGAGCAAGTGCGAAAATGTGACAACGTGACCAAATGCGTCGGATCAAAGGCCCGCGGTCGGAAGAGAGACGCGAACACATGGCTACGCGATGCCTCGACCATGCCGTTACCACTCGTTTGAGGTCTTACCAGTCGATAACACGTAAGGTGTCGTCGTCCAGGTCGAGAGCAAAGATCATTGTGTCAGCTGAGAGCCATCAGGCTCAAGAACAACCGATACCCAGGTGCGAGAACAGCGGGTGAGCATACAACCCATCCATCGGGAATTCGATAGGGCTTTCATGGTCGATGGCGGCGCGAAGGAATGACGCGTAGTGCAAATAGAGCTCAGCCGTTTTTCTTCTTTGTTCCAATCGAGTTACGTCGATATGGTAGAGCGAGACTCGGCTAGCTCAAGTCGTGGTTCGTCTCCACAGTGACACGCTGGACCTCCAGTAGTGTAAGCTGCATGGCACGCTCGACGCGGCGTCAAATTTACGATGAACGTGGAGAGAAGGACGTTCTGGTCACGGTAGCCCGTTTGGCACACCATCACGAGTGCAACCGACTTCCCCTATCACGCGAGATGTTGCAGCTGCATTCATGACACGTAAAAGAAGTATTGGCATGAAGTCTAGATAGAGAAAGAACGCGAGTCCAGAGGTGGGCAAATCTATCGACAGACGCACGTACGCCTTGGTTTCATACACACAAGCTCACACCGTCCCGTACTCGGCCGTGGTCTCGAACACAAACGGTTTGTAGTACTCGCTGCTGCTGCTGCTACCGGTTGGGTGCCTACAACAAGTCAAACAGAGTCTGCGTTAGTCAGCAGCGTGACCCATCACAGCTTCATTAGCGACGCAAACCACTTACGCTTTACGACGAACGACGTAGGCATAACGAACGCTGTCGATGAACAGAAGGATCGGAAACACAGGTACGACAACGACGGCGACAGCCTGCAGCTTTTCAAAGACCTCTCGCGTATCATCCGAGAGCGACGAGTCCTTCAAGAGTAAGCCTAGCAGGCTCCACGTGACAACAAGACCGACCACCGGGTCTCGACCATGGACGTAAGTAGCGAACGCCAGCAGTAGCAGCGTCCCCAATAATACAGCATAGACGCTGAATCCAAAGTAACCTCCGTGCAGGTACTGCAGTGCATCTGCGAGGCTGAAGATGAAGTCAGCACTGAGCCATCCAAAGTAGAGGCGCACGGAGAATTCGCTGCCAAAGTAGTAGATCCACGCTCGCGAGTCTCGTGGCGTAGGGTGACGCACGATGAACAAGTAGAGCGGGAGCACCGCACACCAGAGCACGCCGAGTGCGAACGTAGCCATGTGCACCCAGCTGATCCACTTGTCGAGCACAACCCACGACATGTTGGCCAGACAGGCGAGCTGGAACCACTGGCGGAGGAACGTGGGGTCGTCTGACGTCGAGTAGAAGCTGTAGGTCGGGTAGAAGCGGTCGATAACGACTGTGCTGCCCATGAAGAGGTAGATGGGGATCCAGATGTACAGCACGTAGGCGGGAGGGGCGAGCGGGCCGTTGTTTAGCATCAAAGGGACTGCAGAGACCTTTGAAGACGCTGGAGCCAGTGATCCGCTGCTGTCTGTGGCTCCCGAGCCAGCGATCGGGGCGTCAGGACGGCCGGAAGGCGCCCACGACCCGTCGGGGGCGAACAGGAAGACGCCAATGGAGACCGCGACTTGGACGGCGAAGAGCACGACGTTCGCACTGGGCAGACGCGGCCCTGGCGATGGTGGGGCCGTCATCGTCCGGCGCTCTTGCGGCGCGAGGAGCTCAGGAGCGGGATGCGCGTCTCCGATTGGTCGAAATCGAACAGCACACGGCACAGCGAGTGGCCCAATCGCACTCGCGAATTTGTCCGTTCTGACATGGGTACAGCCACAGCCGACCGTTGTCATGGCTACACAACTAGCGGCCACAAAATGCAGTTGTAGTGCAGTGGGTCATGCCATCGAGTGACCGAGCGATTGACTTGAGGTACGATGCGTCGGTCATGAGCAGAACTGTACAAAGCAGACGGAATGGCCGGGGGCCGTATGAGACGGACTGTCGGCCCGAAACAAGTCAATAGCGTTTCAACCTTTGGTCCAAAGCACGCGACGTTCAGCTACGAGAGGTCCTCACGGGCTCACAACGCACTGCACATTGTGTCTGTAGCGTGTCGTGGCGCAATGTTTTGTCGTCGCGTTGCTCGTGTCTTTGTTTGTAAACGGAAGCAAATGTGCAGCTTGAACGACAGCAACTTGAAGTCGGGCAATGGTGTCCGATAGTAGAACTCGACGCGTTTTTCGTGACGAAAAAGCACACGACGGGCGCATTTGCTGCCATTGTTATCCATTAGTTGTGGTCTGCGTGGACGCGGGTGTTGCCTCCAGCAGTTGAGCGACCACAAGATGCTCCCACGTATGCAAAGCGCTTAGGCGTTCGTTGTGCCGTAGTCCACGTGCTGCATCGGCTTGGCGCTGTAGAGCGGAGCGCCTGACGGAGGCATCGACTGGCTCTGCCTATGGCACGTCAAAGAGAGCGACGGAACAGCAGCAACAGCAACAGCACCACCACCAACGACAGCAACCGCAGATGCACACGGGACATAGTCAGCAACCAGCCACAGCTTCGCAATCGACTCCACAGAGAAGCGTCACGTACATTGCAGGAGCCAGGAGCTTGTGCACGAGAGAGATGACGATAAACGCCGTGACGAGCGCAGCGCTCTGCGCAGCACAAGCGCGAACGTTCGTCGCAATCAGCTCGACGCGCGGCTCGAACGTCGTGCGCTTGACAGCCAGTCCCACCAGCGTCCACACGGCCACGAGGCCGAACGTCACGTCGCCGGCGTAAACCACAGCCGACAGCGCCGCCACGACCAGCAGCGACAGGAGCGTCACGTACGACGTCAACGACAGGAACCCCCCGGCGACGTCCTGCGCCGTGACGGCAAAGCTGATGAGCGTAGCACCGCACGTCCAGGCGAAGTACACCGTGAGGCCCAATTCGTTGCGCACGAAGCGCCAGAGGTCAGCGCCGGCGTCGCGTCGCTCCGTCACAACGTGCGCGTAGAGCACAAAGAGCGCGAACCAGAGCACCAGCAGCGCCACTGTCGCTGCGTTCACTGCGTCGTTCGTGAACAGAACGAGCCACAACCCGTTCATGAGGCACGAGAGCGCAAAGAGCGCGCGCAGGACAGTGGCGTTCGGTGCGTTCGCATAGACCGAAGCCGCCGGCCAGAAACAGTCGACGACGACCGGCACGGCGACGCACGTGTAGATAAAGCCCCAGACGCTGAAGGCGTAGGGCGCCGGCGTCAGGAGCGTCTCGTACCGCCTCGACATGGGCCCAATGTCGCGCGCCCACTGTCGGTTCGCAACGAGCTGCAGCGCGTACAGCGCCAAGTTCAGCCACGCGAGCGGCGACGTTGTAGCCATAGGGACTCTTACTGCAAAGTGCGACGCGGAGGGGCGCGGCACGTCCACTAAACCGTAGCGATGTCGTGCTAAAACGTAGTGCGAGACACGAGAACCGCCGACCGCAGTGGCGTCGGTAAACAGGCAGTTAGTTACCGTGAGGCGATGCGACGGACCGACCGACCGACCGACCGACCGATCAGCGGCTGTTGGACGACGAAACAAAGAGACGTTGACGCACTTGACGTCAAGCGTCAATGATTCCTTCCTGAGCAATCAACCGATAGTGGCTGTACAAACGCACTCTACTGAATACCACCACCGCTGCTGCTGTTGCTGCTGCTGCTGCTGCTACTGCTACTGCTTTCTCGATAGGTTGTGGTCGCCACTCGCTAACTTACTCGTGATGGGCGTGCTCTAATATCTACATGGCCGGCCTCACACGGTCTTCGTGTAGTAATGACACACTGACGTGGGGCCTGGCGGGTCTCGACGGTCTGGCGCTCGGTGACTCGCATCAAACGCCATGAGGCTGCAGAAGATTGCGAGCTCCTCGTGGCTGAGCGCGACCGGAGCTTCGTGGAGGTTCGTAGGTAGGATGACGTCCGTGTCGAGCTCGTCTTCGGCACTGGTCTCCTTGTCGAACGTGCGGCTGGTAACCGCTACTTCGACGGTGCGCGGTGAACAGCCAGCGCTCGTGCTGCTGCACGACTCTGTCTCCGATGAGAGAGACGGGCAGGAGGACGGGGTCGGCGACCCAGTAGGCGAGAGCTTTGCGCGCTGCATCCGCTTCTTGCGGTCCAACTTCTTTTGATTCAAGTTGGCTCGCTCGCGGTGGAACTCGCACAGCTTGTGCAGCTTTCCGTTGCGCTTGAACGCCTGTACGTTCCGACACTTGCCCGTTCGGTAGCCGCAGCGGGCGGGGACGACGTGAGGAAGCAGCATGTTGGGCTTAGCCTTTGCCGCATACTCCTTCTTCTGCTTCTTCGTCTTCGTCTTGTTACTGCTGGTGCTGGTGCCCGGACGTTTGACGGTCGGTGTTTGGCGTACTGACTTGCGGTTGGGTGTGCCGACGGCCCCATGTAAGGAGGGGCCGAACAGCATTCCCAGCTCTTCTTCTGAAAGCCAAATCGCATCCAACGTCGAGAGGTTATACGACTCCCGAGGATGGGGCTGCTGCATCTTAGGCAAAATCCTAAGTGGGCGCTCGATTGCAGCACTTGCAGCTACCAGTCGATCTATCGGCCTGGGCGGCAGCGGGTAGACGAGGCCACGAGCGATCGAAGATTGACCGGCTTCATGATGCTCTGCTCCCGTAATTCACCATGGGACAAGGGGCTGTCGGCGCGGGTATCACAGTCGCTTCAGGCGCGTGACAACCGATCGAACGCCGACCACGCGTCGGATGGAGCGACGGCGCTTGATCGATGGCGTGCGCGGAGGTTGGACGATGGCAAGCCCCCCTTCGCAAGATCTCGCTCCGTCTCGATCACTGCATCGCGACCATCGTGCACTGCTGCCTGGGACCCGGCGGACCTTCCGAGTGCAACGGGGAGGCAGGTACAGTATCACATCAGCCCATTGACTGTTCATCAATGGCGTGTGGGCTTTCCAACAACGAACCTCACACTACCGTCGTGCACGATGCAGCATGAGAGAGACCGTCTACGAATCCGCTCACCCTTCGACTACGGCCTCCTCTTGTGTCGGAGGATACGAGTGCCCCGCCCTTTTCGCCCTGCTCGACTTGTCGAGGTGGAGCGCCAAGTCCCATTGACTTGTCCCGAATGGACTCACGCGGGAACGACAGCAGCTCGACTGATGGACGATGTCTGTCCGCGTCGCAGCCATCACGAACACAGTGACATTTTCGTCACCAGCGTTGCGAATCAATAGCGACTGTACCGTACGCAGTCTCTACTACTGTACTGCAACATCAGCAGTCCGGAGGAGTGTCCTGACATGCACTTGTAGCTGTCAACTGGTCGTACAATGACACACCGACCACCAGTGAAGATGGCAGTCCGCCGACACGCGTTTGCTGCGTCTGACGATCGTAGACGACGCACAGCCGACAACGCACGACGCAGCCAGTTGGTTAGCAGTCAGTCATGAACGGACCTGTCTGTCGCTCGTGCAGATGGTCTCCGCGCTCGATCGACCACACCGTTATCAGTTCGACTGTTTTTCTCACGGCTGTCGACATTTCGGTGGTCTCGTGGGCGTGGACAGCGTGTTGCAATCCAGCAAGTGGCCGTGGCCAGCAACGCACAAGCGCAGTACGTCAGCCGTTGGGCCGTTCGTGCCGTTGGTGGAGCGCTCAATGAGCTTGCGAGACGAGAGGCACCAGCGGATCGGGCTGAGAAATGGACATCGGTGATGGCTACTGACCATCCGGTGCAGATGACTTTCACTACACTGTCGATGCGATTGCCAGTCGCTTCGATGATGTGGTCCGATCTTCCGCTGCAGTATCGATGGTATTGACATGCAGCTGGAAAGAAATGCAGCATAGCGTGACAAGAGCGCGGAGTGTCTCATGGTGGAAGGTGTGCGTGGCCACGGCCAGAGAGAGACGACACAACGATCGATTCTCTGGATCGCAGATGGAGACTCGTTGTACTACTCGACCGGTGGAGGTGGTCGTGGATGGTGGAGTATAGACTGTGTGCTACTACTGCAGTTGCTGTTGCTCGAGTATCCGACACCCAGCCGCAAAAGTCGAGCAAGTTCATCCTGGCAGCAGAGATAGCTGTCGTCGAGACCTGCCAAGTCTCGCCAATGGGTTGCGATCAGGTGAGCAAATGGACTTGCGGTGCTGCTTGCAAACGAATGCAATCACGTCGCGGCAGTCTGGGGATGATGAGCTGGAAGCGAACACCAGCTACATTCGCATCATCGGTAGAACTGGATGCTCGAGCCGAACTGCGCTTTCAGCTGGTAGTAGGACACCGTAATCGACACATACCACGGACGCGGTGGACGTATTGTCGAAGTCGAGCCAAGCCACAGCACGCAGCTCACATCTGTAAGAAGAACGGAGACGTCGTAGTCGAGTCGAATGTCCTGTTTGAAACTCCGTGGATGCGTCCGGCTGTCGTAAGTCATCTCAATGTACTCAGCAGCTGACATCAGAGGATGGGTAAGCATAGCTCGGACATTCCAAGAAACCCGACCGGTGGCTTCCGAAGCCAAAAGACATGCGATCAAAGTCCTTTCGGAGCACATAGCGGCTGCTGAGCTGCCTCGACGCAAGACACGGACTCGGTCGGCATTGCCCAAACAGATACACCCGGGGAAGTACGGTATGCATGTGGACGACAACGATTTGTCGCCGACCACGTGATGAAGAGCTTCTGACGTTGCATCCCAAGATGAGATCGCCGACAGCCTTCGACTTGCTGGTGCGCAGTTAGGTGATCGGCCCCAGCCCAACACAAGTGCTAGTGCAGATGGTTGAATATGATCATAGACGAGAACGAAGCAGAGGTCAAGCTCATACGTCCGACACGCACGAGAGGTGCGGCACAGAACAACTTGCACGCCAGACAGGAGCAGATGATGCAGTGGAAAGTGGAATCCAATCGGGCAAACGGTGAACCGAATCGGGGCAATGTCTCGGTGCTGGTACTCACATGGTCGTGAAAGACCGCGGTCGAGGAACAGGAGTCTGAAGACGATACCACAAGAAGTCGTGTCGGTGCGAAGAAGATCGACGAGCGATAGTAGTGCAGACGCCATGAGTCACCGACCGCCAAACGCTTTCGACGCGAGTGATCACCGATCGAACGCCGACCACGCGTCGGATGGAGCGACGGCGCTTGATCGATGGCGTGCGCGGAGGTTGGACGATGGCAAGCCCCCCTTCGCAACATCTCGCTCCGTCTCGATCACTGCATCGCGACCATCGTGCACTGCTGCCTGGGACCCGCGGACCTTCCGAGTGCAACGGGGAGGCAGGTACAGTATCACATCAGCCCATTGACTGTTCATCAATGGCGTGTGGGCTTTCCAACAACGAACCTCACACTACCGTCGTGCACGATGCAGCATGAGAGAGACCGTCTACGAATCCGCTCACCCTTCGACTACGGCCTCCTCTTGTGTCGGAGGATACGAGTGCCCCGCCCTTTTCGCCCTGCTCAACTTGTCGAGGTGGAGCGCCAAGTCCCATTGACTTGTCCCGAATGGACTCACGCGGGAACGACAGCAGCTCGACTGATGGACGATGTCTGTCCGCGTCGCAGCCATCACGAACACAGTGACATTTTCGTCACCAGCGTTGCGAATCAATAGCGACTGTACCGTACGCAGTCTCTACTACTGTACTGCAACATCAGCAGTCCGGAGGAGTGTCCTGACATGCACTTGTAGCTGTCAACTGGTCGTACAATGACACACCGACCACCAGTGAAGATGGCAGTCCGCCGACACGCGTTTGCTGCGTCTGACGATCGTAGACGACGCACAGCCGACAACTCATGACGCAGCCAGTTGGTTGGCAGTCAGTCATGAACGGACCTGTCTGTCGCTCGTGCAGATGGTCTCCGCGCTCGATCGACCACACCGTTATCAGTTCGACTGTTTTTCTCACGGCTGTCGACATTTCGGTGGTCTCGTGGGCGTGGACAGCGTGTTGCAATCCAGCAAGTGGCCGTGGCCAGCAACGCACAAGCGCAGTACGTCAGCCGTTGGGCCGTTCGTGCCGTTGGTGGAGCGCTCGATGAGCTTGCGAGACGAGAGGCACCAGCGGATCGGGCTGAGAAATGGACATCGGTGATGGCTACTGACCATCCGGTGCAGATGACTTTCACTACACTGTCGATGCGATTGCCAGTCGCTTTGATGATGTGGTCCGATCTTTCGCTGCAGTATCGATGGTATTGACGTGCAGCTGGAAAGAAATGCAGCATAGCGTGACAAGAGCGCGGAGTGTCTCATGGTGGAAGGTGTGCGTGGCCACGGCCAGAGAGAGACGACACAACGATCGATTCTCTGGATCGCAGATGGAGACTCGTTGTACTACTCGACCGATGGAGGTGGTCGTGGATGGTGGAGTATAGACTGTGTGCTACTACTGCAGTTGCTGTTGCTCGAGTATCCGACACCCAGCCGCAAAAGTCGAGCAAGTTCACCCTGGCAGCAGAGATAGCTGTCGTCGAGACCTGCCAAGTCTCGCCAATGGGTTGCGATCAGGTGAGCAAATGGACTTGCGGTGCTGCTTGCAAACGAATGCAATCACGTCGCGGCAGTCTGGGGATGATGAGCTGGAAGCGAACACCAGCTACATTCGCATCGTCGGTAGAACTGGATGCTCGAGCCGAACTGCGCTTTCAGCTGGTAGTAGGACACCGTAATCGACACATACCACGGACGCGGTGGACGTATTGTCGAAGTCGAGCCAAGCCACAGCACGCAGCTCACATCTGTAAGAAGAACGGAGACGTCGTAGTCGAGTCGAATGTCCTGTTTGAAACTCCGTGGATGCGTCCGGCTGTCGTAAGTCATCTCAATGTACTCAGCAGCTGACATCAGAGGATGGGTAAGCATAGCTCGGACATTCCAAGAAACCCGACCGGTGGCTTCCGAAGCCAAAAGGCATGCGATCAAAGTCCTTTCGGAGCACATGGCGGCTGCTGAGCTGCCTCGACGCAAGACACGGACTCGGTCGGCATTGCCCAAACAGATACACCCGGGGAAGTACGGTATGCATGTGGACGACAACGATTTGTCGCCGACCACGTGATGAAGAGCTTCTGACGTTGCATCCCAAGATGAGATCGCCGACAGCCTTCGACTTGCTGGTGCGCAGTTAGGTGATCGGCCCCAGCCCAACACAAGTGCTAGTGCAGATGGTTGAATCGGATCATAGACGAGAACGAAGCAGAGGTCAAGCTCATACATCCGACACGCACGAGAGGTGCGGCACAAAACAACTTGCACGCCAGACAGGAGCAGATGATGCAGTGCAAAGTGGAATCCAATCGGGCAAACGGTGAATCGAATCGAGGCAATGTCTCGGTGCTGGTACTCACATGGTCGTGAAAGACCGCGGTCGAGGAACAGGAGTCTGAAGACGATACCACAAGAAGTCGTGTCGGTGCGAAGAAGATCGACGAGCGATAGTAGTGCAGACGCCATGAGTCACCGACCGCCAAACGCTTTCGACGCGAGTGATCACC